AACAGAGGAATCCTCTAACTTGCTGACCAGACTGCTGTACTACCTACGCTAGCTCACCGTTGTGTTTTTGTTTAGTTTTTTTGCTGATGTCACTAGTTAGGCTGAACAAATTTGGCACCAACTGTCTGACTTAGTTACCATGAATTAAGATGATAAAAAAACAAACAAAAAAAAACATTATTCTTAGGTTCCATTGAACCTGAGTTCTGCATCTAGAAAAATCTTGCTGATGAAAGTTAAGCAAGTTATTCTTGCTGAAAAATAATAATGGAAACCAGAAGGAGAAATGAAAAAAGAACACAAAGCATTTTCAAGCACAGTCAAAGAAGCTCTCTGAAGCTGACTGATATTAGCAAAATGAGAGAGTAGTTCTATATGAGCAGTGCAGTGTGTCTTGTTTAACTACTACAGAGAAAATCTCTTTTTTATGGTTTAAGATAAATGATGTTAAACCATGAATTAGGACTACAACTAAGGATTCTTTTAGTTATTGAGTATAACTAAACATAATGAGAATACAAAGTAAAAAAAGAAAAAAGTACCGACTTAATTATAAAGCTAATCATTTAAATGGACAAAATGATGCGACAGATTCAACTTAAATAAAATTGTGACTTAACATGTTCGTCTTGGACTAGCTTTACAAATAGAGCTGCTGGAACAAAACGCAGCGTTTAAAAATAGGGTTTCTTAATGGGGCCATCAAGCTCCTTGCAGACTCGGTGTTCTGACTATCCGTCATACCTTGTCAATCCAGCATACCTTGTGATAATGCGCATGCACACATCGATGTTACGTTTCTTATAAATCCATCATACCTGTAGAAGTTTTATTTTGTGTGTTTTATTTCTCAGAAGCTTACGGTAAAAAAATAAAATAAAATAAGAAAAACCTAGTTATTTCCACACAGTGTCCAGAAAGAGGTGCTGTTCTGCTTGTTGCCGAACAGCTTCAGTCAGCATCCAGCGTTATTCATGAGCTTTTTTAGGACATATTCCGTGCAGTTTTCTAAAGAAGTATTAAAATATTAAAAAGGTAGATTAGCTACAGGGACAAAATATCCCATGGGAGACTAAATTTGAAGTCAAACAGTATTTGTAGTAATAGTGACGCTAAACGGGACTAATGTCTTGTTTACAGTTTGGCAACGATACTTGAAACAGCAAAAGTAATTTATGTTAATATGTTTGATTAACATAGCAGCTTAATTAAATAAAATTTACTGTAAACTTCTGAGAAATAAAACACACAAAATGAAACTTCTACAGGTATGACGGATTTATAAGAAATCTACTGAGTAAGCGGTATGTGACGTAACATCGATGTGCGCATTACCACAAGGTATGCTGGATTTACAGGTATGACAGATAGT